GCGGAAGCGCTGCCACAGCGACTTGTGCAAGGAGGTCTGCAGTGAGCCCGGAGGACGCAGTGGGCGAGAGAGAAGGAGCTTAGTATAGCGATAGGTTAGAGGCTGCCATAGCTGCCATAGCTGTAGTTAGTAGGAAGTGTGTGTGTGTGTTCGAGTGTTCAGAGTGACGCGTGTGGGATATCCAGGGTGATCCAGTGTATGTGAACAGTGAGTTGTTTGGGCGCTGAGTCGCCATACCCAGTTGAGAGTGAACTCGTATCTGGAAGCTATATCTCTGAGTTTTGAGTGGGCGCATGTCGCTAGTTTGCTTCGTTGCTGTTTACATGCATGAAAAGTGTGAATGAGTACGAGTCTGATTGCACAGTGATCGGCCCCTTCCCGTCCTTCACAGGATTTCAGCATTATTTTCATGACTTTTGGCAGCTGGGATGTTGCCCTCTAGAGGGAGGGAATAGTGTTACGGACTCCGCCAGGGCTCGATCCCTGGTCTGCGGGTTACCACCTGCCAGCTTGCTGTATTTACTGTTTTATTTTGTTTTTACAATTTTCTTGTTTTATATTTTGTTTTTGCTCTTCTGATTTCAGACAGTTGGCGCCATCTGAATTCTGGCGCACTTGGCGCCATCCGACATCCTGGTGCCCACTCTCAGACTTTCGATTTTCAGTACTGGCCCTGAGGCATTTGCACTTTTGCCCTCAGGACCGTACCTGAGTCCGGTACTTATGTCCGGACTCAAGCCCAGTACAGGCACCAAGTTTTCAGTCTCAGTGCTTGTGTTCAGTGTGACTTTGCGTCGACATTGTGTTCGGGAATTCAAGACTGCGACTTCGCGACTTGCTACTTTGTGTCTGCGTCTGTCGAGTCGTGTCAAGTCTGCATCGAGTTGAGTGAGTGTGTGTGTGTGCTCTCACTCTCCCTCTCTCTTCCAGCCTCGCTACTCTGCCTCTGCCTCGTCACAAGTCCCCTCTGACACAATCTGACAAAGACCAGGTCTCATCATAGCGCTTGCCAGCGCAGACAGCATCTGAAGACGAACAGCAATGCACAACAGCGATCGGTCGCAGATAGGTAAGCTTCCCACAAACTTATAGCCCTGATCCTCCTCCTCGCTGATGTCTCATCAATCTCGTAGACAGTGGCCAATGCCACGCCATTATGGTCTCTGGTTCAGCTGGCGCCAAAGACAGAGAGTGTGCCAGCATCAAGTAATCGCAGAGCAGTCTCACGTCATCGTCCAATGTCAAGACAGCGCAGAGCCAGCGACGAGAAAGCGTTGTGCCAGCGTAGAGCTCGTGTCCAGCCAGCGCCGAGCAGCAAGTGCGAGACTGAATGTCGGTCAACAGGGGCTGGGTCAACTTAGTGTTGACTCGAGGTTGACCAGCCTCTGGTCTCTCAGATACGACGGCCCAGATTACTTTGCAGCCAATTGCTTGGATCACTTACAATTGCAGATTTCCACTTGGGCTTGATCCCTTACGGATACCTGCAAACAGCCAGAGGTGTGTGTCTAATCAACGGCCTGGAACGGGTCCACGTTGACTTTGACTCGTGATTCTGAATTTCCGAGCTGCTGTGGACTGTTGACTTTCTTTGGTCAACTGTTGCACGCTGGGCCTCTGAAGGCCAGTTTCCAGGCCTTGTTTCGGGTGTCCACAGCAGCAGACCTTCTCGTGGGTTGTTACATGACTTGGGCGTGGCCTATGACCCCTGTTTCGGCCTCGTTGACGACAGTAGCAGCCCACGGCCTGCGACTGATGCATGATTTGAGCTGAGTTATTGCAGAGCCTTCAACTGTGGGGTCACTACGGGTGGGTGCTCCTATCACCTCCCTCAGTGCTACACCCCCGAAGTTATGTTTAAAAAAAAATAAAAAATAAAAGGGCAAATGATGATGTCATCCTGTCACTGAATTGTTGTTTTCTCTGCAGGTCAATGTGTTGGCAGATGGGAAAAGCACGAACAGTAGAATGAAAGATGATGACTAAATGTAATGAGTTAACGAGTTCAATAACTTTTGTAAGTTTTGTTCATACGAGTGAAGGATGTTGGATCCTGAATGCAGAGCGCTCTTCGTTCGCCCCCGGCCCCCCCTTCTTTCTGCAGGGCTTGACTTTTCATACGGATTGGACAGAGATTGATCTTGATGAGCTCAATGCGCTCTTTGTTAAGGTGAGTGCAGTTTTCCTTGCCGCTACCTCCCCACAGTCTCTCACAGACTTCACACAGAAAAAAAAGCATGCTCCCAATTTTCAAGTAGTTTACGACTTTGCAGCGGGACTGCATCTGGTCGCATTTTCAGCTGCCATTACGTAGCACAGGTTTACATCCTCCCCGTCCCCCCCCCCCGGCGTCCCTGAGCCTACGGCCTTCATTCCTTTTGTCTTTGTGGGGACATTCCAGTAGTTTACGACTTCACAGTGGAACTGCATTGGCCATGTTTTCCACTCACATTCAGTTGCCATAATAATGATGACAAAGTTCACCTCCTCCCCCCCACCCCGCGTGGCAGTCAATATGGTCTTTCCCGTGCAAATTGAAGGGGCAGTAGGCGGTACGTTTCCCCTCCCCCTTTTTCTCCCATGCAGATACAATTTACATTCCCTTTCCTCCCATTGAAAGGGCCTTTTTCACCCAATGTAGGCCTCAGGCCTTGTAACTAAGCAACGTGGGCCATGTAAAAGTAAAGCAGCCTGAAAAGGTATCTCGCCAGGGCTCAGAAACGTGAAAAGCAGGTCAAGAGTCCA